TATACCCTTTTACAAAATATTATAACGTCACAAAATATTGACTGATTTGATTTTTTACTACATTGTAAGAAATCACCACACTCGCAGATTTTTTAATACACATATTGTAGTTGTATTCATATATTATTGGAAACTGTATGTTGCAAATATCACTAGTTCACAACCTACAGCTTATTATTCAATTATGTCACTTTCTGATTTTCTTCCTTTCTGTTTTTCCTTTCTTTCTCTTTACTTTGTTCTTTTGAGACTTTTAAGTTTTACCCTCCATTTTTTTCTGCCAACCTCAAACATTTTCTGCGACCAATGGTCCTGTGGTCCGCTATAATATGCATCCCTGCAAAATGCGCGAAAAATTATGAGTAAACTAGAAATACATGCATGCAATAACCCCTCGCCTGTTTTCAAAAGATGTATACTCAGTGCCGTTGCTAGCACTTCGTCTCAGGGTGTGTGTGAGGTTAGATAGGGGGGGGGGGTGGTTACCAAAATGTTTCCAGATGTACAAAATTCAGGACATATAATAATTTTTCCGAAAATACAGTTGTTTTCAAATTCACTTTCTCATGTCTTGAGAATTACCTGAATTCCACTGAAAATCTTCTGAAAATCTACTTAAATTTACCTAAAAGTGCACTGGAAATCTACCTGAAATTCCTCATGAGAAATTATTAGGGGTGTTGCACCCCCGACCCCCACCCCAAGTGAGTTTCAAGCAAACCGACTCTCTGATTTTTTGTTCGTGTATTTCATCTCCCAAAATTTTGTGCATCATACTATAGAGCATTTTGCTGTTGCATGCTCTAGCGTGGTTCAAATTTATGAATTTTTATTATATAAAGTATAGTGTTTTATGTACTGTTTAATAAACGAGCAGGAGTGTTTTATTAGGTTAAAAGACACGAGCGCGCAGCGCGAGTGGCTTTAGACCTAATAAAACACGACCTTCGAGTTTATTAAACGGCTTCAAACACGACTACAAATTCAATAGATTTACTGCCTTGTTAGTATTCTTTATATAAAGAATACTAATGAGGACACGACTACAATAGATACTGCCTTATTAGTATTCTTTATATAAAGAATACCAATTAGGAGTGTTTTATCAGGTTTAAAGCCACTGCACGTGACATAATATGGTCGACATGTTTCGTCAATAAGCTTATGAATTATTAATGAGTGTTTGAAAGAGATTTCGAGCACTGATAAAAATGATAATCTCACATGTAAAATTATTCATGATAATCTCACATGTGAAAATTATCGCCTTTTCAATTATCACTTTTCTGTAAAAATTATCGCTTTTAAAAGACTGTCCTTTATATAATAAACAGAAAAATACATGTGTGGTTGGAAATACCAGATTTATTTTTCGTGTTGAACATGACATCTCACTCGTTCGATGCGCTCACTTGTTCGCTGCGCACTCATGTTCAACACTCGAAATAAATCTGGTTTTTCGTGCACCCATGTATTATTCTCTATTTAAACTACAACTTGACTGGTTTAAATTATTATCAAGTTATCAGTGATAAGTAAAAGTCGCAGATAGAAGTGTTTTGTTTTATATTATTATCAAGTTATCAGTGATCGCAAAACCTCCAAATCCTTAATTTCAAATGTTAGAATGTTAGGGTTTTAACTTTTAATCCAAGTGAGAATTATATACATTTTAAGACCTAACCAGGAACGACTGCGAAAAATGCAGCACAAGGTCCTCTGGTAGGAATTGAACCTACGGTACCGCGATTCCGGTGCAGCGCTCTAACCAACTGAGCTACAAAGGCCAGCTGTTGAGCTTGAACCGCAAGTTCATGTATATTTAGGTTATCGGGTGTGCGGGTTGTGATAAGGTGGACTTCAATAATTTGGATTCTTGGCACTTCACTTGGTGGAATTAATATTAGAATGTTAGGGTTTGTAATCCATGTGAGAATATATACATTTTAAGACCTAACCAGGAACGACTGCGAAAAATGCAGCACAAGGTCCTCTGGTAGGAATTGAACCTACGGCCCTGCGATTCCGGTACAGCGCTCTAACCAACTGAGCTACAGAGGCCAGCTGTTGAGTTTTAACCGTAAGTTCATGTATATTTAAGTAATCGGGTGTGTGGGTTATGATAAGGTGGACTTCAATAATTTGGATTCTTGCACTTCACTTGGTGGACTTAATATTAGAATGTTAGGGTTTGTAATCCAAGTGAGAATATATACGTTTTAAGACCTAACCAGGAACGACTGCGAAAAATGCAGCACAAGGTCCTCTGGTAGGAATTGAACCTACAGCCCTGCGATTCCGGTGCAGCGCTCTAACCAACTGAGCTACAGAGGCCAGCTGTTGAGCTTTAACCGTAAGTTCATGTATATTTAGGTAATCGGGTGTGCCGGTTGTGATAAGCTGGACTTCAATAATTTGGATTCTTGTACTTCACTTGTTGGAATTAATATTTGAATGTTAGGTTTGTAATCCAAGTGAGAATATATACATTTTAAGACCTAACCAGGAACGACTGCGAAAAATGCAGCACAAGGTCCTCCGGTAGGAATTGAACCTACGGCCCTGCGATTCCGGTGCAGCGCTCTAACCAACTGAGCTACAGAGGCCAGCTGTTGAGCTTTAACCGTAAGTTCATGTATATTTAGGTAATCGGGTGTGCGGGTTGTGATAAGGTGGACTTCAATAATTTGGATTCTTGGACTTCACTTGTTGGAATTAACATTAGAATGTTAGGGTTTGTAATCCAAGTGAGAATATATACATTTTAAGACCTAACCAGGAACGACTGCAAAAAATGCAGCACAAGGTCCTCTGGTAGGAATTGAACCTACGGCCCTGCGATTCCAGTGCAGCGCTCTAACCAACTGAGCTACAGAGGCCAGCTGTTGAGCTGTAACCGCAAGTTGATGTATATATAGGTAATCGGGTGTGCGGGTAGTGATGAGGTGGACTTCAATAATTTGGATTCTTGCACTTCACTTGGTGGAATTAATATTAGAATGTTAGGGCTTGTAATCCAAGTGAGAATATATACATTTTAAGATCTAACCAGGAACGACTGCAAAAAATGCAGCACAAGGTCCTCTGGTAGGAATTGAACCTACAGCCCTGCGATTCCGGTGCAGCGCTCTAACCAACTGAGCTACAGAGGCCAGCTGTTGAGCTTTAACCGTAAGTTCATGTATATTTAGGTAATCGGGTGTGCGGGTTGTAATAAGGTGGACTTCAATAATTTAGATTCTTGGACTTCACTTGTTGGAATTAACATTAGAATGTTAGGGTTTGTAATCCAAGTGAGAATATATACATTTTAAGACCTAACCAGGAACGACTGCGAAAATGCAGCACAAGGTCCTCTGGTAGGAATTGAACCTACGGCCCTGCGATTCCGGTGCAGCGCTCTAACCAACTGAGCTACAGATGCCAGTTGTTGAGCTTTAACCGTAAGTTCATGTATATTTAGGTAATCGGGTGTGCGGGTTGTGATAAGGTGGACTTCAATAATTTGGATTCTTGCAGTTCACTTGGTGGAATTCGAATTAATATTAGAATGTCAGGGTTTGTAATCCAAGTGAGAATATATACATTTTAAGACCTAACCAGGAACGACTGCGAAAAATGCAGGCACAAGGTCCTCTGGTAGGAATTGAACCTACGGCCCTGCGATTCCGGTGCAGCGCTCTAACCAACTGAGCTACAGAGGCCAGCTGCTGAGCTTTAACCGTAAGTTCATGTATATTTAGGTAATCGGGTGTGCGGGTTGTGATAAGGTGGACTTCAATAATTTGGATTCTTGCACTTCACTTGTTGGAATTAATATTAGAATGTTAGGGTTTGTAATCCAAGTGAGAATATATACATTTGTATATTCTCACTTGGATTACAAACTATTCTCATTTGGATTACAAAATATATACACAAAATATATACATGTACTATACATTTGTATATTCTCACTTGGATTACAAAATATTCTCACTTGGATTACAAAATATATACATGTATATATTCTCACTTGGATTACAAACCCTAACATTCTAATATTAATTCCACGAAGTGAAGTGCAAGAATCGAAATTATTAATTTCAAACGCCCCGCCGGGGCTAAGGTTCGAGTGGAAATACCCAACCCACGGGATGTGCTTTACAGGAAAATAGCTGGGTGAGGGGGATGGGCACACTTGGATTTGGCTGATGCATTAAAAGTCATGGAAAAAGAAAAAACTTTTCATATTGCTACTATAAAATGGCTTATTGTGCTTATTCCTGTGCTTATTCCAGACTGCTTGTCAAATATGTACTTGCAAGAAGTAGAAATTTACTCTGACCACTGGATGAAGAAGACATTAAATAAGTACTGGTCAATAAACAGAAATGTATTTTATTTCATAGTATTACAATTTTATTTTTATACTATAAAAATAAAATATAAACATGCAGCATAGATTATGCAAATTCGAGGCAAAATTATTGTTGAATCGGTTTATTTATAGGATTTTATAACAAATAGCAACTATAAAAGTTTATACCTTGTCTTCACATCGCTTTATTCTGTTAGCCAATACGTTTAAATTTACATATTTTAGAATCAGTTCCTTTCCTGGTAACTGCATTTCTAAATGAAATCATCGTGAGTAGTGAGTGCTGAGCAGGCCGTTTTACTATAAACAAATTTTAAGAATTGATAACAACTTTGAAAAATATATCGTTGCACATTCGGTCACAGTCGGGAAAATGTTCATAGTATGTTGTACGGTCGCTTGCAACTAACGATGAACAGTCGCTCATAAAAACATTCGCGTGATTAGAATCTTCAATATTTGACAAGAACAACAACACTTAATTGTTGTTTCCCATGTGTACAATAATAAGTAACAAAACTTTGTGTGGTCTGAACGTATTGGGCTAGAGACCTACTGGAAACTTTTACAGGCTTTTTAAATTAATGAGAATAGAGAATGTTTTATCTGCAACTGTTCACCCTTAGTTGCAACCGACGGTATTTGACAGCATAAAATTGCCTGTGGCTGTGATAACTGATACAAATAAAATACAGTCTGGTTAATATACTGACTTGAACGTGTCATGACAAACTCTTTATTGGAAAATTGTGAAGAAATAGTCGAATATAGAGGGTCGAATATCATACTTCAACTTGTATAGCTACAGTGTCAGTATCATTGGTACATAGCGTTGTGAAGACAAGCCTTTGCTTACCTTTCGCTTCAGCAGTCTTTTTTTCCATGCTTCTCTACGCTTTCCCAGGCGAGCTTCTCTTTCCTCAGCAGTCTCCTCGAGCAAACGTTGTGTCTCCGCTCCCTCCTTTTCGGTAGACGTTCGGCTTTCTTGTCGTTTCCTTGCCGCTCTTCATTTAGCTCCATATCTTTTCAATTGGTATTTGATACCGTAATTGTTTTATTAAACTTTTTATAGAACAAATTGCTTTGAAAGCTGTCAAAGTTTTTTGCAAACGTACAAAATACTGTAGTGCAAAAAGCAAATTATTTTCATGAAGTATCTGTCAGTTGAAGTCGTTATTTGTCATACAACAACAAATTTTAAATTTGACCAATCAGTGTTCGCTAGCCATGACAGTCCGCCATATTTTTGAGATCAGTGAGGATGACCACCCACTCAAGATCGTCGTTCGTTGGTCACGCCCGCGATAATTGATGAACTTTAGACTTCGCTAATGCTTTCGTTTCTCCGGGTGTAAATAGCCGGGGGGAATTAGTACCCTCGCAAGGCGCTTCGCGCCGCCGGCTCGGGGATTGCATGGCAAGTTAACCGTGCGAATATTTCGAATATATAGAGAATGTCATTCAGTATTATATGGAGAATAACAGAATGCTATCAGTTGTTTAGTATAGAATGGTAACAGAGAAACGTTTAGAAAGTCATATAATTGCTTTTGTATTAATAACTTCTTTAGCTGAAGACTCGATCACAATGCCAATGTCAATTTATATCAATTTAAATGTATTCGGTAAACAGAAGTCCAAGTAAATAAAAGTTCACAGCCGTAAAGCTTGAAATATTTATTATATTATTGAAATATATATGTGCAATTTTATAGTTTATACCTTTATATAGTCATAGCTTACAAATCTAGTTCCTGTAAGTCTAGTTCTTCAACCCTTCGGTTGTTGACATGTTAATATCCCAAGAATTTAAATATGGCATATGTCATATATACCACGAATAACAGCATGAATTCACGCCCAGATAACAGAAGAATATTAACATTGGTCAATTCAACAAAAAACAGTTGCAAAAAATCGTAAACGACAACGAAATATCACAACTTGCAAGAAATCGTACATTGTTGCAAGAAATCGACCAAGAACTGCCAGGCGTCTCGCATTTCAAGTGCACTCTTCCCATCAGCCCCTTCGCCCATCTCTCGCCACTACAATACTTCATGTAAACTCGTCATATGCGCATCGCTGTTTTTTTTACAAAGAGACGCCTGGGTACGAGGCAGCGGCTTCATTAGGGAGACAAGGAAGTTTATATTGGCAACCGACGTTTTTATCCAACAGTGTAATTGTTCGATACATACACAGGCAACGCGTTTATGTCTCGTTTGATTTATTATGGCAATCAGTTCGCTTGCGTTTCGGATATTTCGCCCACACGGTTTACAAGCTCGGTCGGATAGTTCCGAGAAAGAACTAACTTCGATTCCTAAATTCGTGATCGGCTTATTGGTCGGCCAAGATTTTTCCACTGTCGTAATCGACTTTTGCTTGCCTTAAATATAAAATTCTACGACGATATATAAGATATTTTCTCCATTGCCCCGTGTTTTAGTTTCAAAGCACACTTAATGCACAAACAAAAGTGATCATTTACATTTTCCGCGCTTGCTTTTCTACCTCTTGTCGTGTGTTCAGAGGTCCTGATTGAAACTTTCAATGGCGTTTCTTTCGAAATATTTTATTTTTTCAATTTTGCGACCAAACAATAACATAGTTTGAGTGTTTGACAGTTTGATTATTATAGTATAGGTATAATCATGCGCTGGCGAGTACAATTAGGGATTAATAGTACAAGTGATGTTTGGAAATTTTGCCAAAATTGGACGAGCCTCCGGGGTGAGTCCAATTTGGCAAAATTTCCAAACGTCACGAGTACTATTAATCCCTTATTGTACGAGCAACATCGCATGATTACTTGTTTGTTATTAGCATGACAAAATTGGATACTTCTCAATGTCAACATCATATTCTCTCGCCAATGCTCAGTCCTGTCAGACTTTCGACCAAAATTTGGTGCTTTTGTTCGTATTTTCATTTAGTTCTTTTGTTAAAGCAAAGTTTGGTGTTGTTGTTCGTATTTTCATCTAGTTCTTCTAGGGCAATTTCAAACACAAATGTGTTTTAAAAATACCTTTCCGCCGTTTTGTTTGTTTTGGGAAAATCATTAATTGTACTGCAGTACAATTAATGAAATAATTGTACTCCTCTCAACCAATCATGAGCATCCAGTAATTTTCTCATGCTAATAATAAATATATTTAGTGTTTCAGTGCTGATAGGCTAATTGGACCCGAACAAAAAGGTGGGCGGTTATCAACTTACACTACCAAACCCAGCAGACGGTATTTTAGACCGCCTGCCATGCAGGCTATCAAACACTCAGTGTGCATAAATTCCCAATATGTCTTTAGTTGGTGTGAACTGATTTCTGCCCACATTTAGTATTTGTGTGCGGTATACAAAAAAAATTCTCTGGCAATCATCAGAATCACGATTTTGATTTTTATATTGGGATTGGGATGCAATCTTTCTTGCAAACCTTGCTCTAGATTTAGCACTTATTATAATACGAATATACAAGAATTCCGGACGGTTTAATATGATGGAAACAATAAAACCATATTTTTCACCGTACTGGATCAACATTTGTTTAATTCATAAGGATGCTAACGCTGACAGGATATTCTTCTAATTAAGCTATTGACACTGCCAAGATTTGCGTCACACTTTATAAATATAGTTCAAGTGTGAAATATCGAAAATGACAGGAGCGTTAATTGTATGCGTTGATTGATTTATAGTCTAGCTGAATCGCATTAATTACTCGCTTAGAATTCGTCCGACCATGGTTAATAGAGGAAATGGTTTGGAAACTTATTAGCCTTTCCCTAAAATCACAATAAACCTCATTATCTATGTTGTCTGAGTTTATGTAACAATGTGGTCTTTCATCGTCACGTGCGTATTGTATTTTTCCCAAGTCAACCAATAGGGATGCTCAAAATAACATTGTTGAAGTCATGAATGGACAACTGAACAAAACCGTTTCTATTGGCTGGTTGGGCAAAAATACTATACGCACGTGACGATGAAAGACTACATTTTTGCATAAACTTGAACAAAAACATAGATAATAAGGTTTATTGTAATTAACCCTAATGAGTTTTCAAACCATCTCCTCTATAGTATTAGGGAGTTTACGAATGTAAGACGCGGTCAGCTCGACGACGTCAAGTCAATTAATGCTTGAAATAAGCCGCAGGAATTTAACTACAATGTTTTAATTGTCTAAGCATGTTTTAATAACCTTACAAATGTTTAAATTGGCCTATACTACTCCGATCGATATGTAGCTGATGTTGCCATTCTGTCAACGTTTTAAAACAGCTCCCATGTCGCAACGAGCTTTGATATCGCTTTGATATCGCTTTTTTTTGCGATTGGCAATCGCAAAAAAAAATTCTCTGAAAAAGGCTGAATCCGTAGAGAAATTGGGGGGGGGGGGGGTGGCAG